CCAACAGGGGGCGGAAACGTCCGATCACAAACGAGAGCGGAGGATCAGAGGAATACGCGCTGAAGCCATCACACAGGCCACAGCAGTAGCCAACATCAACAGACCGTGCACACGCAGACGACAGCATCAGGGCGCCGCAACTATCGGCCAGGTGATCTCGTGGACTACCACCGTCCGACCACTACTAAGGACGACTGGGCTGCCAAAAATCTTGCCCAGGGTTTTTCCATATTTTCGGGGCCCTCGATTTTTCAAGCTCCCGACGCTCCGCGACGCCCCAAGAGCCTCCAGGGCCGCCTTGAGACGAACCAGGAGGCCCCTGAAAGCCCCCAAAGACGGCCCACAGGGGCCGGCCCCAGGCGGCCCCAGAGGCACCCAAACCGCACCAAGGCGATCCCATGAGGGGCCCCGGCGCATGAACCCGACACCATAGTTCGAGCTTTCCATCGCAAGATGTCCCTGGGCGGCTCGAGAGAGCCCAAATGCCCCTGGATGGGCGCAAAAGGCAAAACCAAACGATTTGCTAGGAGTTTTTGTGTGTTCGGAGGCCCCGACTTTTCGATCCTCTGGCGCTCCGCGACGTCTCGAGAGGCCCCCATGACCGCCCCGAAACGGCCTAGGAGGGCCCCGGGAGTGTCCCAAGACGGCCCAGGAAAACCCCAAGACGGCCCTGGAAGCGCCCAAGTCGGGCCCGAGATAACCCCGAAACGGCCCCAAGAGGGCCCCAAGTTTAATTCAAATTTGACACAAACCGCTTCCTCGTCAAGGACGGCGTTGCGTCAAATTTGTGTTGAATTGTTGGTGCTCTGGGGCCGCTCTGGGAGCTCCATTGGCGCCTTGGAAGCTGCGGGGGCCAGTGGGGGTGTCAGGACAGCCCATGGGGCCTCCGGAGGCCCTCGAGGCCTCGCAGATTTCCAGAGTCTGGAGGCCCCCAGAGGCCCCAGGAAAACAAAACGCGCCCCAGAACGTGCAATCGTCGCGGCGATTATCGCAACTGCGGCGGCGGCTGCGGCTACGGCGCCCGCGGCGGCGGTGGCGGCGGCGACGGCCTGGTGGCCTGGGGCCTTTGGGGCCCCCTCGGCCACTGTGGCAGTCGCGCCACTTGCGCAATTTGGGAAACATCTCGGGACCTTCTGACGCGTCGCACGTCGATCTCGCACGGTTTCGCGACCGCCCACCGAACCCCTAGCTACCCCCCAGGATGCCCAGCACCTCCACGCGCCAAGGGCGGCCGTTGCCTGGGGGATCCCTTCTCGGGTATCTTGGGGTTCGTGGACTTGTTCAAGGTTTACTAACGACGACTGCGCAGTCGGCTAGAACCTTAGCGCGCGCGCAGGGCGCGCTTGGTTCTAGTAGGTATGTATGCATGCATGCATGCGTGTATGCATGTGTGCGTATGTATGTTTGCATGTGTGCAAGCGCGCCAGTGGATGGCCCTGAATAGACAGAAGGGGGGGGTGCTCGCAGAACCCCTTCCCCCCCCCGCCCCCCCCCCCTCCCCCCCCACTCCACCCCTTCAAAGGGGGGGTGAGCATCTCTCCCCCCCCCATCCCCTTAAGGCGTGCGTGGGGAGGAGGAGGAGGAGGGGGGGGGCTTTTCCCTCCTTTCCCTTCGAAGCCCCCCTCCTCCCCCGAGGGGGGGGGGTTCGACCCCCCCCCCCCCCCTTTGCGTCGAACAGGTGGCTGGGGACGGGGCCTCTCGGGTAGTGAGTAGAGAGTAGAGTGTTTTGAGTAGCGATTGGTGAGTAGTGGGTATTTGATAGTGAGTAGTGCGCAGTGAGTCGTGAGTGGTGAGTCGTGAATAGTGAGTATTGGGTAGTGGTAGTCGTGAGTGGTGCGTAGAGATTAAGCGAGTAGTGAGTAATGAGTCGTGGGTAGTGAGAAGTTGGAAGGAGGTAGAGAGTAAGGGATTATGAGTAGTGAGTAGTGAGGAGTGAGTAATGTGTAGAGAGTAGTGCGTAGTGGGTGAAAAGCAGGGAGTAGGGATGAGGGAGTAGATAGTAGCGAATTGCAAGGAGTGAGTAGTGAGTTGTGAGTAGGGAGTAGAGCGCAGTGAGTAGAGAAGTAGTGGGTAGTGAGTGAGGAGTAGCGAGTAGCGAGTAGGGAGCAACGAGTAGGGAGTTGCGAGTAATGTGTCGTGAGTAGCGAGTAGGGCCTTGTGAGTAGTGTGTAGTGAGGAGGGAGTAGCCAGGAGTCTGTAGTGCATGGTGAGTAGGGAGTAGTTCGTAGCGAGTAGGGAGTGGCGAGTAGTGAATAGTAAGTAGAGAGTAGTGAATAGTGAGTAGGGAGATGAGAGTAGTGAATAGTGAGTAGTGAGAAGCGGGAGGTGGGTATTGAGTAGTGGGTAGTGAGCAGGGAGTTGCGAGTACAAATTAGTGAGTAGTGAGTCGTGAGTAGTGAGTAGTGAGTAGCGACGTGCGACTAGTGACTAGGGAGTAGGGAGTAGTGAGTAGCGAGCAGTGCGTAGTGGGTGGTGAATACTTCGTATTGGGTAGCGAGTAGCGGATAGTGAGTAGAGAGTTGGGGACAGTGCGTAGTGAGTAGTGAACTATGAGTACGCAGTGGTAAGTGGTGGATAGTGTTTAGTGGTTAGTGAGCAGTGCGTAGTGAGTATTGAGTAGTGGGCAGTGAGTTGTGGTTAGGGAGTAGTGGGTATTGAGTACTGGGTTGTGAGTGGTGAGTAGTGATTTGGGAGTAGCGAGTAGGGAGTAGGAAGTCGTGAGCAGTGAGCAGTGGGAGCGTAGTGAGTAGTGAGTTGTGGGTCGTGAATATTGCATATTGGGTAGCGAGTAGGGCGTAGGGATTGGCGAGTAGTGAGTAGCGGGTACGGTGTAGGGAGTGGGAGTAGCGAGTAGCGAGTAGTGGGTAGTGAGTAGTGCGTTGTGGGCAGTGAATAGTGAGTAGTAACGTGTGAGTAGTGAGTTGTGGATAGTGGTTAGTGGGTAGTGAGTAGTGATTTGTGATTAGTGAAAAATGGGTAGTGAGTTGTGTTTAGCGAGTAGTGAGTATTGAGTAGTGGGTAGTGAGTAGTGAGTAGTTTGTCGTGAGTAGTGAGTAGTGCGTAGGGAGTAGGGAGTAATGAGTAGTGGGTAGTGGGTAGTGAGTCGTGTGCATTGAGTAGTCAGTCGTGAGTAGTGAGAAGCGAAAAATGAGTAGTGAGTAGCGAGTAGTGAATTTTGGGAAGTGAGTAGTGCGTAATGTGTAGTGAGTGCTGTTTGGGGCTAGGGTTTGGGTTTGGAGTTAGGGTTAGGGGTTAGGGTAAGGGTGGGGATTCGTGTTAGGGGGGTAGGTGTCGGGTTCCGGAGACCGGGGGCGCCGTGGCGAAGGAGGGGGGTCGAATTTGGCGGCCAAAGGGCTGGTGGGGGCACTGGTGGGGACAGCGGGGACAATGGTGGGAACAGTGGCGACAGTGGGACAAAAGGTGGGGACTGTGGGACAGTGGTGGGGATGGTGGTGGTGGGGACCGTGGTGTGGGGACGATGGGAATATGGTGGTGACAGTGGGACAGTGGTGGGGACAGTGGTGATGGGGACAATGGTGAGGGCGGTGGCGAGGACGGCGGTTGGACAATCGGACAGAGGTACAGTGGGGAGAGTGGTGGGGACAGCGGGGAGAGTAGTGGGAACAGTGGGACAGCTCAGTGGGACTGCGGCGGGGACACTGGGATAGTGGGGACAGTGGGACAGTGGTTGGGGCCGTGGGGAAAGTGGGGAGAGTGGGACCGTGGTGGGAACGGTGGTGGGGACAGTAGGGACAGTGCGACAGTGGTGGGGGCACTGGTGGGGACAGTGGGGACTGTGGTGGGAACAGTGGGGACAGTGGTGGTGAGGACAGTGCTGCTGGGGACAGCAGTGGGGGATGTGGTGCGGACGCTGGTAGGGACCCGTGAGTCGTTTCCCGGCGGTGAGCATGGGGGGGGGAGGAGTTCGAACCGGTAGTGGCCCCCCTCGGTTTCCTGGAGGGTGGGGGGTCTCGAACCGGTAGTGACCCCCCCCGGTTTTCTGGAGGGGGGGGGCGGAGGGTTCGAACTGGCAGTGACCCCCCCCTGATTTCCTAGGGGGGGGAGGTTCGAACCGGCAGTGACCCCCCCTCGGTTTTCTGGAGGGGGTGGTGGTGGTTACGGGGGGGGTCTTGCCGGGGGGAAGGGAGGGGGGGGTTCCAGCAGGAAGGGGTGATTTTCGGAGGGGGGGGGAACCCCGGGCTCCGGAGGGAGAGGGGGGGGGGGGGAATTTTCAATAGTAAAGCGGCGGTGGATCACGCTCTCTCTCATGTAGGGATGCGTACGGAAAGGGGGTGGGGGCCATAGAAAGATCCGAGGGTGGGATTTATCCATGCCCACCGCCTGGGAAAGCGATCTTCCTTGACCCTGGGAGGCGGTGGATGTAGATATGTTCGCGGGCCCTTGGGGGTCAAATGGATCCACATCCTTCGCCTCTGGGGTCCCAGGCATCGGCTTCCCAGGCGGTGGGCCCGTATGGATCCCCGCCTTGCGACAGAGCCTCGAGAATTCCCCGATCACCAGACAACCCGACAGGCATTTTCGACATCCCGCCGTCGCGCAGGCGCGGCGGGCGGACTTCGTGGCCAGGGCGCCCCGGCTGCCGAGGCTCGGGCCGGACGGAAGGGGGGACGGGGAAAGAGAGGGTGCGACCTCTGCTGCTTGCCGCTGGTTTCGGCCTCGCCGCTGGGTGCTCTTCCTCGATGCATCGGCGGCGCCTGGCGCTGCGAGGCGCTTGGAAACCAGCTACGTGAGCTGATTCGCCCCCCCCCCCCCCCCCTAGTACCCCCCCCTCGCAGGCGAAAACCACATCCACGGCCTCGCGGGCTGGGCCCCAAGGCCGCGACCCCGCGGATGCGGGGCGTTTTGTTCGCGGATGCCTCGCGCAAAACCTGCCCGTGCGACCCTTTCTCCGCGGGATCGCGCCCTGGAGTCCACACCGCGAGGGCGTGGATATGGATGCGTTCTCCGCTCGCGACCCCCACGGTCGTCCGCCCCGGCAGGCCCCCTGTGCTCGCGGGCGGCGCCGTGGGGGCCTCTCGCCCCGCAAGCCGTGCGCTGGCGCTCGCCGGGCTCTCGGGGGCCTCTGAGCTCGGCGGCGCCCCGCGGGCGCCCTCGGCGCCCGGCTGCTTCCTGTGGACGGGCGGCGGCTGCCCGCTGCACCCAAGCAGGTCGAAGCCCAACTGGCAGAGGGACGCCGGGCCACGGCGAAGACGACCGCGCCAGGCTGCGACGACGCCAGACGGCGCCAGGCGACGACGACGACGACGACGACCTCGTTCGTCAGAGGATCGAGAGATACCGATATTGTTGCCGATCCCTCGTCGACCCGGCAGGATTCGTTTCCTTACGGACGGCGTTCGGCACTTCCGCTACGCTCGCGATCAAAACTATCCCCACCAGCCCATCAAGACACGATCGGAGGCTTTCTTGAGGCCTCTTGGAGGCTATCTTGAGCCATGTTCGGCTAGAGGCGGTCGGAGGCTATCCTGAGCCATGCTAATTTATCTTTGGCCGTCTTGTGGCTGTCTTGAGGCCTCGTGGAGGTCTCTCGGAGGCTATCTTGAGCAATGCTCGACCTCCTGGGACCATCCTGGGGTGTAGGAGGAGGAGGAGGAGGAGGAGGAGGAGGAGGAGGAGAAGGAGGTGGTGGAGGAGGAGGTGGAGGAGGGAGGCGGAGGAGGGAGGAGGCAGGAAAGGAGGAGGTAAGGAACGCACAATGACAAGGAGGATGAGAAGTCGGGCTTTAGAGGTATGTTTTTGTGAGAGGTTCTCGAAGGACGACGAAGACCATCTTCGGTTCTCTCTGAGGGCACCCGTGGGGCCTCTTGGGGCACTCTTGAGGCTCCTTGCAGGGGTCTGGGAGGCCTCGTGGGCCCCATGGCTTACAGAAAGGAGGTGTCCTCAATTCAGGTCCCCCCCTCGGAGGCTCAAAACTGGCGTCTTGGGGCCCTCTTGGGCCGCTCTTGGGCCGCTCTTGGAGCGTTCTTGGGCGCTCTTGGGCCCTCTTGGGCCCCTCTTGGGGCCCTCTTGGGGCTCTCTTGGGCCGTCTTGGGGCCACCTGGAGGCCTCCGAGGCCCATCGGAAGCGAAAAGGCGAGAAGACACAACACAGTGGGTTTCATTTAGTTGTTCAATGATTCTAGCCTCTTGGGGGGTGCTTTGTCAGCCTTCAGGGACACCGTCTTGGGGCTGTTTTGAGGCCTCCTGGAGGTATGTTGAAGACTACCTTGAGCCATTTTCGGCTATCTTGAGCCATCTTGGAAGCTTTCTTGAGCTCTCGGATGCCCTCTTGGAGCCATCTTGGGTCACCTTTGACGCTCTAACCCTTCCGTCCACCCCCCCTCCAAGGCCAAGGGGAGGGGGTAGGGGAGGGGTCCAGAGTCTCCCTCCCCGCCCGCAAGCCGTCTCGCTCACTCCCACCCGCCCTCCCAACACATACGTAGCACCCGAGCCTGGCCCGAACCGCAACATATGCAGCAGTCGTCTTTGGATGGCCAGCTACTGGGGGCCAATCCGCCGCCCCTGCTGCCATATCGCCGCCGCCGCAGCCGCTGCCTCCGCAGTCGCTGCCGCCACCGCTGCCGCCGCCGCCGCCGCCGCCGCCGCCGCCGCCCCCGCCGCCGCCGCCGCCGCCGCCCCCGCCGCCGCCACCGCCGCAGCCGCCGCAGCCGCTGCCGCCGCCGCAGCCGCCGCAGCCGCCGCCGCCGCTGCCAGGTGTACTCTGTATTGTTTTTTGACAGGGATGGTGGGGGGAGGCCGCATCGGGTTCGCTGCAAATGCCCCGCGAATTTGGAGACAGAGTGACCTGGGTTGGCTCCCAGTCGCCTGGGGGAGGGGGTGTATATTAATAGGGAACAGTGATTCAAGCTACCCGCCCGCCCGCAAACCGTCTAGTTCACTCCCACCCGCTCTCCCAGCGTATCACCCGAACCTCAGCATTTTCAGCGGCCGCCGTTGGATGGACAGCTACTGGGAACCAAAGCCTACTCCATGTGCGCGACGGTTGGGCGAGGTGCGCCACGTGTGCCAGGGGCGCCACGCGCGCCAGGCACCCCTGGGCCCGAGCGTGCCAGGCACGCCTGATGCGCCAGATGCGCCACGTGCTCCGAGTGCACTAGGTGTGCCGCACACTCCAGCCGCGCCAGGCGCGCCATGTTCGGGGCACATGCAGACTGCGTCACGTTTACCCGCGCACGTGACAGCACACATCGGGAATCATGCCGGCCCACGCCATCCTTGTCGAAAACCAATGCCTATCGTTGTGTCTGGTGGGCCTGCGCACAGCTGGCCACTCGCCGCCACACCCGCGGTCCCCTTCAAAAACCATTCGACAGTGATCGCGGGATGACCGCGCATGGTCTAGATTTAGCCGCGAGGTGCATGTTGTGTTGTTCCCAACAATCCTGTGGTGTTGGGTCCTCGTTTTGAAGAGACAGCGCCCCGCGTCATTCCTCCTCTCCTCTCCTCTCTTCTCATCTCCTCTCCTCCTCCTCCTCCTCCTCCTCCTCCCCCTCCTCCCTCCTCCCATCCGCCTCGTCACCTCCTTGCGTTTCACCCACCCAGTACAGCGCTTCGTGGCACCACAGGGATCTCCACCGAAGGCTCCAGTGGCACAGGCTGCTTCCGACAACGCAACCCAGGACAGCGCTTCGTGGCCCCACAGGGAGCTCCACCAAAGGCTCCAGTGGCACAGGCCGCATGAATCAACGCCACCCAGGACAGCGCTTCGTGGCCCCATCGGGAGCTCCACCGAAGGCTCCAGTGGCACAGGCCGCATGCATCAACGCCACCCAGGACAGCGCTTCGTGGCCCCATCGGGAGCTCCACCGAAGGCTCCAGTGGCACAGGCCGCATGCGTCAACGCCACCCAGGACAGCGCTTCGTGGCCCCATAGGGAGCTCCACCGAAGGCTCCAGTGGCACAGGCCGTCTGCGTCAATGCCGCCCAGGGCAGCGTTTCGTGGCCCCATAGGGAGCTCCACCGAAGGCTCCAGTGGCACAGACCGCATGCGTCAATGGCACCCAGTACAGCGTTTCGTGACCCAATGGGGAGCTCCACCGAGGGCTCCAGTGGCACAGGCCGCATGCGCCAACGCAGCCCAAGACAGCGTTTCGTGGCTCCACAGGGAGCTCCGCCGAAGGCTCCAGTGGCACAGGCCTCATGCGTCAACGCCACCCAGGACAGCGTTTCGTGGCCTCATACGGTGCTCCACCAAAGGCTCCAGTGGCACCTGCCGCATGCGTTAACGCCACCCAGAAAAGTGCTTCGTGGCCACACAGGGAGCTCCACCGAAGGCTCCAGTGGCATTGGCCCCGCATGCGTCAACGCCATCCAGGACAGCGCTTCTTGCCCCCATAGGGAGCTCCACCGAAGGCTCCAGTGGCACCTGCCGCGTGCGTCAACGCGAGCTCCACCGAAGGCTCCAGTGGCGCAGCAGGCCGCATGCGTCAGCGCCACCCAGGACAGCGTTTCGTGGCCCCGTAGAGAGCTCCACCGAAAGTTCCAGTGGCGCAGGCCGCATGCGTCAACGCCACCCTGGATGACGTTTCGCGGCCCCATAGGGGGCTCCACCGGCGGCTCTAGTGGCACAGACCGCGTGCGTCAACGCCACCCATGACAGCGCATCGTGGCCCCATAGGGAGCTCCACAGAAGGCTCCAGTGGCACAGCCCGCATGCGTCAGCCACCACCCAGGACAGCGTTTCGTGGCCCCATAGGAAGCTCCACCGGCAGCTCCAGTGGCACAGACCGCATGCGTCAACGCCACCCAGGACAGCGCTTCGTGGCCACCGAAGGCTCCAGTGGCGCAGGCCGCATTCGTCAACGCGGCCCAGGGCAGCGCTTCGTGGCCCCATAGGGAGCTCCACCGAAGGCTCCACTGGCACCGCCCGCATGTGCCAACGCCACCCAGGACAGCGCTTCGTGGCCACGTAGGGAGCTCCACCGAAGGCTCCAGTGGCGCAGGCCGCAGTCGTCAACGCGGCCCAGGACAGCGCTTCGTGGCCCTATAGGGAGCTCCACCGAAGGCTCCAGTGGCACAGGCCGCAGTCGTCAACGCGGCCCAGGACAGCGCTTCGTGGCCCTATAGGGAGTTCCACCGAAGGCTCCAGTGGCGCAGGCCGTATGCGTCAACGCCGGCCAGGGAAGCGCTTCGGGGCCCCATAGGGAGCTCCACCGAATGCTCCAGTGGCGCAGCAGGCCGCATGCGTCAGCGCCACCCAGGACAGCGTTTCGTGGCCCCGTAGAGAGCTCCACCGAAGGCTCCAATGGCACAGGCCGCATGCGCCAACGCCAACCAAGACAGCGCTGCGTGGCCCCATAGGGAGTTCCACCGAAGGCTCCAGTGGCGCAGGCCGCATGCGTCAACGCCGCCCAGGAAAGCGCTTCGTGGCCCCATAGGAACTCCACGGAATGCTCCAGTGGCACAGGCCGCATGCGTCAACGCCACCCAGACAGCGCTTCGTGGCCCCATAGGGAGCTCCACCGAAGGCTCCAGTGGCACATGTACAGCGTTTTGTGGCTCCACACGGAGCTCCACCGAAGGTCCCAGTGGGACCGCCCGCATGCGTCAGCTTCCACCCAGTAATTACAGCGCTTCGTGGCCCCATGGGAACTCCACCGACGCCCTCAGTGGCACCGCCCGCATGCGTCCACCGAAGGTCCCAGTGGGACCGCCCGCATGCGTCAGCCACCACCCAGTACAGCGTTTCGTGACCCCACAGGGGGGCTCCACCGAAGGCCCACGTGGCACCGCCCGCATGCGTCAGCCACCACCCAGTACAGCGTTTCGTGGTCCCACAAGCATGCGTCCGACCGACCCATGTCGGCACACCCCTCACACGTTTCGAAATTCCGTAGGGAGCTCCACCGAAGGCCCCAGCGGTGACGTTCGCATGGGCCCCCCTCCCTATCCATTTCGTTCGGCACACTCCTCACACGCTTGGTGGCCCACAGGGAGCTCCACCGAAAGTTCGCATGCGTCCCACCGATTCGTCCCCTCCCTGCCTGCCTGCACTGCCCCGCGCCTTGTTCTTCCTGCGGCGCGCTCTCTATGAAAGCAGAGGGTATACCGCGTGCGCTATTCGGGGTTTGCGTGCCCTCCTCCTTCGTATCATCTCCCTCGCGGTTCTCGCAGCTGCATATGGTTAAGTCTGAAAGTGCGCCAGTGGATCTCCCTGAATACACTAAAGGGGGA